GTCCAAGAGTCGCTTTCGGTTCAATTAGTAAAACATTGACGATTGCTGGACTCAACGGGTTCCAAGACCCCCGAGCTCTTTACTACGAGCGCGATAAGCGGATTATCGTCAACGAATGCAAGGCCATCCGCAGTTTTGGTTACCAACTCCAAGCTTTTCGTGCATGGAAGTTTGTTCGAGGAGTATCACTACAGGCTTACCATCCGCTTTGGGATCCTGAAGCCAACATTCTGACCGTAGCAAAAAATGACCCGTTTAGCAGTTTCTTCGAATTCAGCTTCGAAACATCGTCAGGTGGTCAAAATCCCAAGTTCACTGTCTTCATAAATCGGGACGGTAGAGGTACAGTAAGGGTAGGAGACGTCTTTTCAGAAGATGAAAGGCTCATTCTATACGATCTTCTCAATGACGACGATTCGCCTTATGACGAGGATCGGGTCTCTGACAAGGGCGACGTCTTGGTATATGACAACGAAAAACGCCCGTTTCATGTTAGCGTTGAGGTTCACACTAAGACTATAGGCCACCACGACATGGTTAGGGTCAACGTTGATGCTTTGATAGATGGCTTTGCGGATGAAGATCATCGTTGGAGTTGTAACTGCGAGAAGCATGTATATCTGCATTAACATATGCTTGGTATTCATTCTAGTGAGCTTTACCGTCGTGGTGTACAACGGCTCTACGTGCATGAACGATTCCACGATGTCCTAAGAGACAGCTCTAGCTCTCACAGGAGCCAAAAGTGAAACCTAAGACGGCCTTAACCCCGACTATACGTGGCTGTCAATGGACACGAGGCCTGTCATCCGGCACCGATATGCCATGACCATAATTTGAGATAGTCGAGCAGTATGACAATATCCGTATCACCGTGGATTTTACCAATCTCCGGTCATGAGCCCATGTCGCCAAGCAGCCGGGAGTCTACATCCGCGATGGCGTCTGCCAGCAGGTAAACATCACGTGCGCGCAACGTTGATGCGCGAGGCTAAGGTACGCGGAACCTTGGTGGCCTGCAAACAGTAAAGGCGTGATAATTATTGTGAGTGTACCTTAAGACAAATCCGCGCAACCGCCTATCCTCCCAAGTGGGCCCACGTCATCGGCTTATTCCTCGGGCGCTCGCTAACCACGTTTGCCCCGCCCGGAAAGCCGCATCTCCACTCCTCACCTCCAAACCACGCGATAAGAGCCGTTGGCACTGCCAGCGCGCGGTAGCTTCGGAAAGCTATCAGCGCACGCCCGCCTTCCTGTTTACAATATTCTTGACGCCCTTTACGTACATGCGCAGCGCGCATAAGGCGTGCCGATGATGCTGGCCAGTCAGGCTGAAGGGCCGAGTGCTTATCAGGAAGATGGCGGTTTTGATGATTGTTGATCCTGGTAGCATCGCAGACACCGACTTGGCTTGTCGTTGGATTGAAAATGGGTTAGGGAATGGATCGGGATCATGACTCTTTGCCAATGGGAATGGTGTCATGGAGATCAATCGATTCGGTAGAGCAGGAAATGGCGCCGACGTATAAAGCTCGTGGGCCTGCAGCCGTATGAAGCTTCATCACGGACTTTTGCCAGACCCCCGGTTTGGACTTTTCGTGGACAAGATGCGCTTCTCTCGGTCGATCGGCGTCGCGTCTTTCGTCGTTGCCGGTGTGCAGGCTGCTGTTTCTTCAACTGGATTCACGGTTTCCTTGACCGATATCGACTACTTCCTGCCACCGAAAGCAGTCGCGAAACTCTCGAGTTGCGAAGAGATTCAGGCCTCCTTCGAAGATGCTTTGTTTGTGCCTTTCACAGTGGTGAAGGGTCACGAAGGTGGTGTGGATGTCGCGTCGCTCACAGCAAGCTATGCGCATGATGATGTGTGGCAAGAAGGTTTCATGGACGGTATGCTCCCAACTTCACACTCTTGAGACCTTCGCTGATCATACCTTTCAGCCATCTACCTCCAGGGTAGCGATGCCAAACCAACGAACTCCTCATTGACCATACTATCCGGCACCGCATCTAAGGAACTAGCTCCGGGCCCCTACTTCATCAACGCAGCTGGTCATGTCTACGAGGCGTGGAGACTATTCTCTGACATGCAAGGCGCTTTCACCGAGTCTGCAATTGCGAACGGCGACGGTTCATACTCGGTCTTGCCCGCGGGTACTGTGGGCCAGAAGCATGCCATCGCCGTGCCTTCGCGGTTGTACTTCACCAAAACGGCCGAGAAGCCTCTGGCTGGTGTAAGAATTGGTATCAAAGACATCTACGGTACGACACACCATCACCACTTAGGCTATCATTCTTGAGCCTCGACTGACAAGAACCACAGATATCAAGGGCCTGCGAACATCCAACGGAAACCGAGCTTGGTACTGGCTGTACCCTCCTGCCAACGCGACCGCGCCGCCCGTCCAGAATCTGATCGACGCGGGAGCCATCATCGTCGGCAAGATGATCACCTCGCAATTCGCCAACGGTGAAACCGCAACGGCCGACTGGGTTGACTACCACGAGGCATTCAACCCCCGCGGAGACGGCTACCAAGACACCTCCTCCAGTTCCTCCGGTGGTGGCGCTGGTACCGCATCCTACTCTTGGCTCGATGTCAGTCTTGGATCCGACACCGGCGGTAGCGTGCGTGGCCCATCGCAAGTCCAAGGCCTCTACGGCAATCGTCCATCTCACGGGCTGGTCTCTCTAGACCACACCATGCCACTCAGCCCCGTGCTCGACACCCCCGGCCTGCTGGCCCGCAACCCGCAAGTTTGGATGGAAGCAGCCCAAGCCATGTACGGCCCCAACATCACCATCACAAGCAGCTACCCAACTAGCATCCAAACCCTCGGCTGGCCCACCGAAGTCGAAGATGTTGCCGACCAACTCCTCATCGACTTCCTCGGAAACGTAACCAACTTCCTGAGCGCAAACGCCACCGCGTTCAACGTCACTGCCTCTTTTGACGCTGCAAACCCAGATGTCGCACCTCTTACGGTGTTACAAAACCTCACCTACGCTATCCTAATCACCAAGCAGCAAATCGAGCTCGTCCGCGAGCCCTTCTACGCCGACTACGCCAAAGCCCACGACGGCCGCCTTCCATTCGTTAACCCCGTCCCGCTGGCTCGCTGGGGCTGGGGCGACAACCAAACCATCACCGTCGAAGAGGCCGTCAACAACAAGACTATCTTCCAGACCTGGGCTAACGAGACCTTCCTCGCTCCATCACCAGAAACATGCTCTGAGTCTCTAGTCATGTACGTGGGCTCCACAGGTAGCACCACATACCGCAACACCTACTGGGACGAGCCCGGCGTGCCTTTTGGCTTTGGCAACAGCCGCATCTCGGTTATGGCGGAGGTGCCGGATTATGTTGTGCCGTTGGGTGAGACGCCGTATAACTCGACGATTACGGGGCATGTGGAGTATTTGCCTGTTACGGCGAATTTGATGGCGGCGAAGGGGTGTGATGGCATGTTGTTCTCGCTTATTAATGAGCTGTATGAGGTGGGTATTTTGAAGGAGAGTATGGTCGGACAGAGTGGGGTTACGGGTGGGGAGATTTTGTTGAGGAGGGATGGGCTTTGGTGATGGAAGTGTACATTGTATATACGAAGCGTAAATGAAGACGTAGCGCAAGAATTACGTGTATTTGGATGTGAACTATCCAGCGCATGAACCTTCGACGGCACCAGAAAGAACCGGTAGATACGTCTAACCTGAGGATACTCTAACATCCTGCCCGCATACGGCGACTTCCTGAAGCAGCCTTCCCCGAGCTGCTGCCCCACTTACCGAACACGTGTCGATCCTAGCACAGCTGCTGCCTATTCTGCGTCGCATCCTAGACGCACAGCACAATCTCTCTTCCAAAGCTCATGTTCATCTTCACTTCCTTGTACCGATACCAGCAACCATTCACGGTCCTTTGCGGGCTAGTACCGTGGTCGAGTACATTCAGCGATATCATCAGTACAGCTTGCTAGAATGACGGCATCGTCTCAGCAATACGTGGCTAATGCATCTAACGCATCGGGACCGATTATTGAGGAGATCACAGATCTCTGCAAGTTCTGCATCGAGTTTACCAAAACTATCGTTAAGGACTACAAAGATGGCAAGCGTCCGCGCGGGGTCCGCAGTCTCTTGCGAGATTCTTTAAGACCCGGTGAGAAAATATGCCGGCTCTGCGAGATGGTCTCAAGCGCTTGCTCCGTAACACCAACTTACCTACAGAATGATCTTACAAATGGGTTCATGATGGACCGAGATTGGAACCTCGAGAAGCCAGGACATGCCCGGACCTGTACAGTAGTCACCCGTACACATCGGTTTGCTATTTGGGCGGATAGAGATGAGAGATTCCAGATTCCATATTGTTTAGACGACATTCATAACAGAACTCAGGTAGCGCGGCATGTATGACCTTACTTGACCGCCCGCCGATCCTTGGCCCGCAAATGGGACACTTCCGCGATCTGATTCAACACTGGCGAAAGATGTGCAGCACTCACGAAGAAAAACACTGCGCGCCCGAAATTGACGCGCCGATGCCAACTCGTGTTCTAGCCCTTATTGGAGAGCATGCGCGTCCCTCAGTTCAGCTTGTGCACAATGATGGCCAAATGGGACGATACATTGCCTTAAGTCATTGTTGGGGCTCCGCCGGAAAGCAGCCACTACGTACGACATCGGAAAACTTTACAGCTCATCAAAATGGGATTGCATTTGGAGATCTGCCGAAGACTTTCCAGGACGTCATAGAACTTGCACAGGCTATTGGCATCCGATACGTCTGGATCGACTCTCTCTGCATTATACAGGGCAATAGCGAAGATTGGCAGTCGGAAGCAACAAAAATGGGAGATGTGTATCGAAATGCGAGCATCGTTGTGGCAGCTTCCGGTGCGAAAGACTCTAGTGAAGGCCTCTTTATCACTGATCGTCCGAAGGCGACCGTCTTCAGACTACCATATCGCATAGCTGGTGAGATCAAAGGAACATTCAACATGACGCAATTGCCGAGAGAAGACTGGAATCCGGCAGTTGGCCCTCTTGAAAGTCGGGCGTGGACACTTCAAGAACGTCTCCTTGCGCGACGATTTATTTCATTCATGCCACGTGGTGTCACATGGGCCTGCAACGAAAGTACGGTAGATGAGATAGGATCTCACTTGAAGATAGAGGGGCAACTACACTGGCTCCAGCTATTATCTGCGTATACGAAGAGATCTCTAACGTTTCCATCGGATCGTACAGAAGCTCTTAGAGGTATTGCCGAAGACACCAATTATGCTAAGAAGGACCATTACATCCCGGAATACGGTGTATGGGAAAAGAGGCTTCCACTCCAGCTGCTTTGGTTTCGGGACCTTCCAGACGTCAAGGACGGCAAAACGCCTAATCTGCCCTCTTGGAGCTGGGCCGCTACCGAAAGTAGTAAGAAGTGGCTCGAAGGAGATATGACCGGTCCATACGACACAGGATACGAAAATGTTGATAAGGCAGAAGAGATGCCCACGCAACTACAGATCACCCCTGCGGGCAATATTCACATAGTCGGCCATATCAGTACCGTCCATCCCGTTTCGGAATACGTGCGCGATGAGTTCACCGCCCAAGATCTTAAGCTTGAGAAACTTGAAAGCATCTATCACTCGCCCACTAAGCTAGATTTCCATCTCCTCACACGGGACATAGATGGTACTTACGACAAGCTAGTACTAGGGATTGCGCGATTCGATGATGATGAAAAGACGTCATTCACACACGCATGCTTTCTCATCAAGCAGAATGCGAACAGCAGGCGATTGGTGGGCGGGAAGATGCGCCCCAAGTCAGGTTTACGAAGGGATTTCATCGTAAGAGTTACCATGTAACTGGTTCGTAATGAGACTAAACATACGCTAGGACGACGTAGTCTATCACACGGAGCAGAACACGACGTGTTTGTACTGGGCGCTCCTCCTTGACAGTGTCGATAAAAGCACATTCAGGCGTGTGGGCATCGCGACCTTCCTGCCTATTGCGTACGGAGCTCTCAATGTCGAGGTTCAAGAATTCGACATCATCTAGTTCACGATGTGGGCTTTGAGGCCTACAATAGCGTATCAAAGACAGATCAAAACATTTGAGAGCAATGTAGACTTCTGGGTCATCAATTTCCCACCACAGGGTTTGTCTGTGCGCATAGTGTTCCTCACAGCTAGACTACAGCCCACCCCACCCCCTCACATCTTCATCCCCCCAACCCTCCCCTTCTCCGGCTCCCCCTCCTCATTCTCATACAGCAAATTAACCTGCACCTCCCTCAACCACAACCTAAACGACTTATCCAACGTCTTCGCATTCATAACCGCGCAATCCTTGACCTCCTGCGCACTCAGATACGACACCCCCTCTGCATCACCCCCCGCAATCGCAATCGCCCGCTGCAGCAATATACAATTCTTTTGCGTATATATCGCCCGGTACACCGCTTCCTCGATGCTAGCACCGAACGTTGTGAATCCGTGCTTGTGTTGTAGCACGACGGGGCTCTCGAGAGTGAAGCGGGAGGCGAGAGCGGCGCCGAGGGATGCGTTTTTGATGAGGAGGTCGTGTTCGGAGGGCGCTGACGTTCCACGGAGACTGTCCATTGTGAATACCTTGGCACCGCCCAGGCCCATGAAGCCCGCCATGTGGAAGACCGGTCGTACGGGATGCGGCTCCATCGTGCCGTGTCCTACAGTAAAAGGGATGACGTCCTCGGAATGCGAGTGCACAACGCAATTCACCTTGGGAAACTTCCTTAGTATCTCCCCGTGGATATACCGCTCGCTGTATCCCTGCGGCGCGTCGGCGTCGACGGGCGAGGAGTCCTTCACCCAGTACGATATAAAGTCGCTCATGCTCTTGACGAGCGCCGGCGCGCCGGGGTCGTAGCCAGCGATGATGTATTGTTCCTTGTTGAGCGGGTGTCTTACAGAGATGTGGCCGAATGCATCGACGAGGCCGTGGTGGTGCAGGATGTGGTTTGCGCGGATGAGTAGGCGCAGTTGCTGCTGGAGCTGCGGCGGTATGGACATCTTGTGTGCTCGCGACTTGCGCTCTTTGGGCTGCGGCTGGGTTGGCGTGGGCGGGCCTGTCTTGAGCGACTCTGCGTTGAGGGACTCGGCTTTTAGCGATTCGGTGCGCGCTTCTTCGATGATGGAGAGTTCGCGTTGTTTTGAGGGTCGGAGGTATTCTTCGGGTTGGGCTGCGTGGAGGGGATGCGATGCTAAGGCGCGTGGATGCGTTGCTTCGGCGGCGTCCCTTTGGGTCTGTTGAGCGGCGCAGTAGTTGCAGAGTACCATTTGGCTGTTCAGCACTTGGAGGAGTGCATGATGCTGGGTATAGAGGCCGCTTGCCTCGTCTTATGGCGTTCGCGAGCGATGTTTCAAGGTGGCGATGGAAATAGTAGCGTTTGAAACCGCGGATGCCTTGGAGTCGCTAGCACGATCTAGATCTTCACCTGCGTCGCGAATTTGGTGGTATTGTCTGAATGCGATGTGAGACGATGCGAAAGGCGGACGACGCTTTGCGCCTGGCGTGCGCGATGCTGTTGGTACATCGTGACAGGGTGGTGGATGGGTCGCGGAGGTGTTGCGGGGATGCAGCCGGGTCATTGGGCGCTGGTGAGGGGATCCGATCTTCTAGCGCCATTAGCCTTCCCGCCCGCGACAGCCCTATCCCTCACTCGCCCCACATCGTGCGGCCCCCATTAACCTTCAAGTCCGCATCTTGAAACGGAACACCGCAAACCTCAGACTCGCGACGTCCTCCCCGTCTCACCAATCCTTCTGTTCAGAGCCTTGTGTTGATCGCCACGTAGCATCGTCCAAGATGGCCGCCCAATACGTGCTGGCTGGCCTAGCAGCCGCAGGACTGGCCTTCTGGTATGACTTCAAGAGCTGGCAAAGCTTTGGTTCGCGATCCTCTCAGCCTGTGTGAACGCGATTGCTGAGTCGCCGCAGGAACTGGGGGCACGCCTCCAACAGTACAAGGCTACATCAAGATCCGTCGATGGGGACTCTACTTGCTCTACACGCGCCAAAACCTGCTCGATGCATCTCCAATTCCCGATACGGGCGCGTCTTACATCAATCCTCAGAAGGTGCCGGACCGCGTTGGCAGTAGACCAGGACTTACGCGCTGGACATTACCACAACGCCAGTTTCCCGAGAAGATTACACCTGCTGCTTCCACCACTCTTCACGATCTCATGCGCGAGTTTGCGGATACAAAGGCGTACTCGGAGTACATTGAGACACGACCGAGCAAGACCGAAGGCGGTACTGGACCTGCCATCTACGTCAAGCCAGACGTCAAGACCATCAACCCCGTCGCGCACAAAATCTTCTACGAGGTCGCGCATGTGCATCCGGCAGAGAACTCGCTCCATGTGTATGTAAGCCCACAAGACGCGAGACTGGTGATGAAGAGGGGCTGGGGACAGCGCTTTCCAGTGACTTGGCTGGCACCGCCGAGCTGGATCATGGTGTATGCGCCGAGGAACGAAGAGGAAGTGGAGACTGTGAGGGAGATTGTCAGGGCTGCAGTTTGCCATGCTGTCGGGATGAATGTCGATGCTGGAGTTTGACCGAGCGGGAGCGCGACACACGGAGGTGCTACACATGGTCAGTATAGCCGAGCGCAATTGTCCAACCCATTTCATGACTATACTTCTCGGAGACGTTGAAGCCCATGCGTAAACTGTGTTGCGTTCGATATCTGGGCACGGCACTGGAGAGGAGAACCGACGCCGGACGCTAGTAACAACGGCGCCCGCCGCATCCGCCGCATCTGCATCGCATCCCCCACTCTCTTGCGCTAGCTTACACATGTCGCCTGGCTTGAACGACCCTGCAGCATGGCCTCGATCCGGCATGCTATGTTAAGACCGCTGATGCCGCGACCAAGTATCTCTCGTATCTGACATTGTATCTTGCCTGCACCGTCCCTCACACTTCTCATACCCCACACCGCATCCAACCAACATGGGTAGCATCGACACCAGCCTGAAAGTCATCGTCATCGGTGCCGGTGGGTAACCAATCCCTCAGCACAACAAACCCCTACTAACACACCAAGGCCCCGCCGGCTGCGCGCTCGCTCACGGTCTCAAGAAAGCAGGCATCTCCTTCGCCATCTACGACAAAGGCGCCGACGTCTACCGCCACCGTCACTGGGCCTTCACATTGGGCTGGGCGCGACCATACCTCTTCGACCTCATCCCCGAAGAGCTCAGCGCGCAAATCAACTCATGTCAAGTCGACCCGTACGTCGATTGCGCCGCGCTGGGCGAAGATAGGATTGTTATTTACAATGGCCAGACACGGGAGGAGGCGTTTGCGTTCCCGATACCAAAGGCGCGCGAGATTAACATTAGAAGGTTGCGCATGCTGTTAGCAGAACAGTTGGATGTGAAATATAGCAAGAGCTTCTCGCACTATGAGACAACCCAGGACGGCGGCGTGAAAGTATACTTCGAGGACGGCACAACCGACACCGGCACCATGATCATCGGCCTCGACGGCGCCATGTCAAAAGTCCGCCGCTGTCTCATACCCAAAGAAGGCAACATGGACACCCTCCCCTTCGCCTTGATGAACTTCAACGCGTCCTACACCGCCGAGCAAGCCCTCTTCATCAAAGAACACCTCCATCCACTCGTCGACATCGCAATCCATCCCAAAGGTCACTACATCCGCGCAAACGTGCTCGACATGCCCGACGAGAAAGACGCCAGTACCTGGACGTTTCAGATACTGTCTACCTGGCCGCTGAAATACGTCGAGGATCACGACAACGACGACAGGCGGTTGGAAAGGCTTAAAGCACATGTCAAGCGCGATGGATGGGCCGAGCCATACAAGAGCGCAATCGAATGGATACCAGAGGACACGCCCGTGTTGCGCGATCAGCTCAAGATATGGAAAACCGTTCCGTGGGATAATCAAGACGGACGGGTGACGCTGTGCGGCGACGCAGCCCACGCCATGACCTTCCACCGCGGGCAAGGTGCTAACAATGCGTTCTACTCTGCGCATTGCCTTGTTGAAGCGCTGAAGAGCGTGCAGTGTGGGAGTAAGAGTTTGAAAGATGCGGTCACAAGTTACGATGAGAGTATCTGGAAGAGAGGCGCGAATGAGGTTCAGATTAGCAAGGCGCAGACGTTCTTTACGCATGATGGGTTGGAGGAGTTTGTTAATAGTCCCGTTATGGCGTTGGGGACGAAACCTAGTCATGCTGCGAAGACGGAGGGGTATCAGTAGTACGAAAGTAATTGGATGCAGCTCAATGTGTCGCATTGTCTGTACCTGAACGATATCTCATTCAATTCGCCAGTACGGGTCGACAGCACATATGCTGCATACATGCTATCAATCGTTGGTAAATCGACTGTATCTGAGGTAATGTATACTTCTACCTGGAAGTCTTCTTCGTAAAGCGTAACACGAATTGTAGCGAAGTCCAATGACAAGAGACTTCCCCACCTTCCACACGCTGAAAACACATTGATACGACCGCAGTTTACTCGGTGTGCGACCATCGCGATTACACGTATAAAGGCCCTCTCGTCGCCTTACCTTTCTTCTTCGGCACATACACTGGGCCAGTAGATTTCCATTGACAAGGGTCACTTGTAGTATCGATCGGGAAATATTTATCCTTCGAATACGACGCATACCAAGGGGCAACGCTCTCGCCCTGTGTAGGCGCTTCTGCGGGTTCTGAGATGTTCGAAGCCATAGACGCATCGCGGCTAGATCCAGAGCCTTTGTCGGAGTCGTGATCCTCGCGTTCTAGATACTTGCGGAACTGTAGGAAGGGATCGCTAGCGTCTGATGGATGTTAGTGCTATTTCTCTTTCGGCGCATCAGCTGGCATCAAGCTTCTCCTACCTTCTGGGAGTAGCGACATGTTCCGAACATCCTGAAGAGCTCCGAGTCTTTCTTCTAGGATCTTCAACTCTTCAATCCCGTCTACAATCTGTGTAAGGACTTCAGGAAGTTGTGCGACCATGTGGTCCTCGACGATCTTGCTCAGTCTCTGCTTGAGAGTGTGGATGCCGGCTAGTTCAGATGGAAGTGATCCCCAAATGCCAGTCTCGAAGAAAAGCTTTTCAACTTGGTCGCGCTCTTCGGTCGTCGAGTCCTTGGACGTATAGTCTCTGTTGCGAAGCACATGCCACCCCAGGCGAAACCTGACGTCTCTGTTTTGCGCCAGCTCGAAGTAAGACCGCTCGCTATCCGACCCTTCATCCAACGTGTCCGGCCTCGTGATCACCCCAAGAGTGCGCTTCCCCCGAGGATCAATGTCACGCACGTCCTTCGTGATCGATTGAAGATTGAAGTCGCTCTTCGCGGAAACGACAGCGAGTATGATGCTACGTGGGTTGTTCATGTACGAGAGCACGAGCGACCGGACCGTCTCGACATCAGCGTCTGACTGGGTTCGACTTCCCGCCTGGAACAAGCCAGGCAAATCGACCAGAGTAAGATGCGGCTGTTCAGGCCCCGATATCTCCAGGCGAAGGATGTCGGAGCTGAAAACCTTGCTGCTGCCCTCTCCGATGCCCATCGCATCTTTGGCTTCTTCAATCACCGGCCCTAGATCAAAGCCCTCTAACGAGCGAGAGGGGTGGAAATTGCGCAGCTTCTCTAGGTCGCTGTCTGAACGATCTCTCTCCTGCGAACCGGGTACGATGCTAATCTTGATTGGTGCCTCTGGGCCTCGTCGGAGGATCAGCTCGGTCGCGAACCTGGTGCATAGGTTGTCTTTGCTGGGGAACTTGACGCCTGAAACTGCTTCTAGTACCGAGCTTTTGCCAGAGTATTGGTCGCCGCACACGATGATCTCGGGCAGATTGATGTACCGATTGATTCCATGCGATCGGAGGTTGTCGACAACATCCAGAAAGTCCTTCGTTTCGTGAGATTGCAAAGACATGCCGTAATCTGGTTGGTTTTGTTCTGAGTCCAATGCAGGGCAACGCAGGAGGCTACGTTGCCTTGGTATCCTGTAAAGTGGAGCTTTTTAGACCAACGTAGGCGGCACGCCTGTGCGGTGTTTAAACCAGCCTACGGTTGTTGTAAGTTTTGGGAATGCAAAGATGCGTTAATGGGTGGCGAATGAACGTGAGCATGAGGCGAAGTTTCCACGGCTTATCTAAGTAAAGAATGCCTGGAGCCTACAGTGTGTACGCCTTATGACCGAAAAAGAGTGCGCATAGCTACCGCCGGTGGCGCAGCGGTGCTCGAATGACAGCCTACCGCGTCTGGCTCTGGAATGCATTCGTCCACGTTTCACCCCAGATCGCGGCGCGAAACGTCGCGTTTGAGCGCCTGTCGATTGCCATCAACATGCAGCGTGCCTAAATCAGCGAGGATCAGTAATACGACAAGTTGAAGAGGCTTCAGAATTGAGGCCGCGACTGGTAGGGCATCATTCCGCGGGGTCCATAAGAAGCCCAACGACCGTTCTGTTAGCCAGGTTTCAGCTATTCGCCATCGATGCAGCAGTTGCTAGTCACTCTGACATGATCAGAACGCGGCAGTGCATGTTAGCAGTGCCAGGCTGCAGCGATCCCACACAGTGTGGCACCGCACGCTGACGTGTTTGCCGACGTAGGCAGCGGCGTCCGGGTACTGCAGGATATCGCATGTATTAGGTCATCGTGATGTTTGTGGGCGGCCTTGAGGAAACGTCTCTCACGTATGAGGTGGTGAAGTCAAGGTTACGCCCATGGCGCGGGGGTTCCTGTTGGACGCGTCAAAACGGCCGCTAGCTAGATCCAGCCTTACCCGAACAGGCCTGCCCAACCCGGCGAACATCGTCTGGATCGCGTAACCCCCGTTTCCGATTGACCACCATCAGCCCGCCCGCTGTCACTCTGCGACGTCGACTGCCTCTTCCGCGACCTTCCACCCACCGCGCGAATCAGATCTTTACGACATGGCTTCATTGATGTGCTAACGGCGTCTCGCCTCGCGCAGCCACCCGCGGCTCACGACGACTCATTCTTCGATCGCAACCTTGGAAAGCTCTGGAATGGAACCCCATGCGTGCCTGCGACCTCTGCTTTGGAGCCCAACGCCGCGCAACGCTTCCTAAGGATCACAAGGGACAATCCGACACGCTTGGACTGACAGCAGTAGCGTGGAAGCGGCGTGCATCACAGATAGCGGAACAAGCCGCAAGGGTCAGTGAGAGTACTACTCCCATTCGCACGATAGACAATTGTGGTGCATACTGGCGAATATCTCACAAGCCTCGACGCGACGTCAAGGAACAAGTCAACGGCAACCATGACAAGACGGTGCGATGGATCCGAGATGTTTGATGTTGAAGTTCTCAACAGATGCGGCTCAAGCGGCAGCTCCTGGTGAGGCCGCGCAGATCTAGATCAGCCACATGGAACCAACCAAGAACACTTGGAACCACCCTCTCGGAAATTGGCCCAGTTTCCAGCCTTCCGTGGGTTTTCACCGAGCTTCGCGATTACCAAGCGATCGAGTAGCATCACGTCAAAGGATCGTAATTCGAGTCAGGGTCCAGCCGCTGTGGAGACGGATTGTGGATCATCCATGGATTGCTCGCGTGTCGCCCGCCTTACGGAAAATCCTTCACCGACACAGGCCATTCTCTTGTCCCTGCATGCATGGCGCTCGTGTCGAGGTGGTGTGGCAAGTCATGTCAACCCCTATGGAAAAGGACGCGCCGAAGGGTTCACAGTTTACATAGCCGTCTCCCCGCATGGTGAGTCTAGAGTTGGACCGATTTCTAGACCACATTTCCACCGACGACCATGCCGCGAGATGATCGATCCGGAGAGTTCACCGGTGTCTTGGGCTTCTTCATCTGTATCTGCACTCTGCTAGTACTGCTTCGATGCTACTGCAAGCTGGTCCTCGTGAAGAACTTCGCGGCCGATGACTACTTCTCTGTTCTTACCCTGGCGGCCTTCTTGGTCTATTGTAGCTCCGCGCTGCTAGGTGTCCAGAATGGGACCGGGAAGCGACGATATCTCATCCCGGATGAGAAGTATCCCATCGGTATGAAAGTTTGTCATACCACGTCTACAGTATATTCCATGGGCCTAACGACTCGAACTAGTGGTGGTGGACTTGCGAGCCCACATACGTTGTTACGAATATCTTCCTTAAGATGAGCATCGGCATCTTCCTTCTGCGCATCGCCCAGGATAGAACCCATCGCCTGATTCTTTGGACCGCCCTTATCGCCATCCAAGTATACAGCGTGTACTTCTTCTTTGTCTTCACCTTCCAATGCTGGCCTGTCTCGTTCTTCTGGGAACAGTTCCGCGGCGGCAAAGGACATTGTATCCCCTCTAGGTTCGTCGTGAACTCGTTCTACGGCTACTCTGCACTGTCCTGTGTCACGGACTGGACATTCAGTATTGTCCCAATCTTCATCGTGCACAACTTGCAGATGGACAAGAGGAAGAAGATGACGGTGGTTGTTGTACTCGCTTGTTGCGCTATGTAAGCTCATTCCGCCTCTAGAGTCTTCCTTGCATCGTATGCTAACTCAACACCAGTGGCTCCACCGCAACAGTCGTCCGCATCCCTTTCATAAACGGCCTCAACGATATACCCGACTTCCTATACACTACCACCGACGTCGCGATATGGTCTACCGTCGAGACCGGAATCGGCCTTGCGACCTCCGCCGCCGCCACGCTCCGTCCCTTGCTCCGCCAGGTGTTTGGTGAAATTTCGACGCATGATAGCACCTCGCGCAAGCACTCGCGCAGGTGGAACTCGGGACACCCGTCACGTTCAGGGTACCTGGAACAAGCAAGTCAGCATGGCGCAACCGATATTCAGCTCAGTAATCATGATTCAAAACATCATACTGTCCATGTCACCAGCGGGAATGCGAGTCCGAGTGGGAGTACGATTGAGTTGAACATGGAGTGGGAGCAAGACAAATATAATGCGTCGGCTGATGCAGCTGCAACGGGGCACAATGGGATTATGAGGACGGTGAAGATTACGCAGATGTAGAATGAGGTTAACTTGTAATGGAAAGCTATAACAACAACCATTATCGACTTACGAACCCACCAAGGTACTCACCTAATCTCCCTCGCGAAAAGCCTTCAAGTTCGCGCGCGAAGCCCAGACCAAAGGTCATTGCACGAGCGAGGCTTCATTTAGGCATTGACACTTTCCCTTGCCCCATTGAAGTTTGTGGAGACTAACACTCCAAATGACCAGCCCGAACCAGAACCAGACCGCAGCTTGACCAAAAGGCGTATTCTGTTCTTTCCTTCTTGCATCGTCAAGCTCACCCCTGTGGCGCAGTGGGCGGGCGCTAGTCGCGGCAGCCTAGCCCAAACGGTGCTGATCTTCGGCGGCTCCGCGCGAACATCGTACGGCTCCTACAATCTGGATCTCTACACCCTCTCGATCAATATCACGACAACCTCGAAAGAAAGCCTGGGTTTCGTATTTCGGCATTCAGCTCACCGCATTGAGTTCGCTTTCGCTACAGGGCTTCATCGACCCGCTTGTGGCTTCGCGTGGTGTAGCTCGACTCTTTCGGTTGTAGCGACAACCTTCACGACAGCGATGCAATCATGAGAACCATAAACATCATCGCCATAGTCTTCGACATGAAGTATCGCGCACCGTCTCTCGTTATCTCCTCGGTCGGACATTGTCTGGCAGCCCTTCTTTTCGCCCGACTTGTCACTCGTTTAGTCTCGCATCAATCTTATCTCACCAGTAATTCCTAATACGTATTTCGTCATCATGCGATCGATTCTCCTTGCGCTTTTTGCCGCTCTCCCCATCATCGATGCAGCTGTGAGCAGTCCACGCATTTCCAAGACCGGTCGCTGCGGAAGCAGCTTTGGTCTCACGTGCACCGGCTCCTCTTTCGGTAACTGCTGCTCGCAATATAACTACTGCGGGAAGACTTCTGCTCATTGTGATTCTGGCTGCCAGTCGGGCTTTGGGACTTGTGGTTCCTCGAAGCCTTCGATCTCCGCGTCTACAAAGGTGTCAATGGATGGGACTTGCGGCGGAAAGAGTGGCTTCACGTGCTTGAAGTCTGTATTCGGCAACTGTTGCTCGCAGTAGGTCAACCTTGGAAGACACAGTCACGTGGACCGCTCGCTAATGACAACGCACCTCCAGATACGGATACTGCGGATCATCCAACGCATACTGCGGCTCAGGCTGCAACCCTGCTTTCGGTTCCTGCTCAGGCCCAGCTGCCGCCAATCCCGCTACCACGACGCGTTCGTCCTCGACATCAAGTCGCGCTGCCCCAATCGCTTCATCGCCCGCCACGAAACCTGCTACTCACAAGGTCTCCACGAATGCGCGATGCGGAAATGTCTACCAAGCGTCACCTCTCGGAATGACATGTGCTGGATCCAAATGGGGTGACTGCTGCAGTAAATACTCATACTGGTACCCACGGCGACTGCATGCTCCGTCGCATGCTACTATATACTAATGCGCGACAGTGGAAGCACCGATGCATACTGCGGTAGCGGCTGCCAGCCGGGCTTCGGCAATTGCAAGCCTGCATCCTCGTCCGTCTCGTCCGCCTCGTCCTCGCCGGCGAAGGCCCCAATCGCACCGGCGAGTGCAGCGCCAACCACGAGCACGCACGCAGGTTCAACATCCGCCTCGCCGTCAAGCATCGTATCAACTTTCATCACCTCGTCCCAGGCCACGAGCGCATCGCTCGCCGACCCTATCCCATCTTCTTCATCCACGATTCCGTTAGTCGAAAGCCTGTACCCAGGTACTTTCACAACAAGCACAAGCACATCGACTACTGCAGTGGAAAGCTCGACTTCGCTGGAAGCCACTTCAGAGTCAACAGCGGCCTCGGAAATTGTCTCTGCGCCTGGCCAGCCTCCAGCCTCGCTCGCAACGTCAGAGGTCACCGCTTCAACGGACGCTAGCACCAGCTCTTCCAGCGTCTTGGCTACCCTTGCAGAGTCGCCTACCACTACTGTCGAGCTTTCGAGCACAGCTGCAACCCCGCTCGCTACATCGGAGGTCGCTTCCTTGCAAGTCGAGATTGTCTCTCCCGTCGCATCAATTACCGTGCTCGAGACGTCTGTCGAGCCAACCACCACATCCACGCCAGTATCCACGGAATCCCAGTCCGTACCGATGGAAACCAAAACCGAGACCATCTCTTCCACCTTTGCCCCCGTGATCAGCGCGTCGCCGTCGTCGGAGCCTGCCGCATCGAGCTCAGCGGTCGAGACGCCGTCGCTACTCCCAGAGACACCCGCTTCCTCTTCCCCAGCAACTTCGATCGTCGCGACATCTACCACGTTAGCGCCCACAACCTGCAACACGCTCGCCGCGAGTTACAATCCCTCTTTCGAAAGCGGAGCTATCGCACCTTAGTCTAACTTGTACGGTGTTAGTACTGCGTTTAGAAAGACTAAGGTTCTGTCTGCTAATACAGCACCCTTCGCGCCGCTTAACAGATTACATACGCTTTACACTACGTTAACTAATTAGTATACGCAAACCTAGCCTACCCGCGAGAACGTGCTTAGGGCCACTAGCCCTAAGCAATTTTTAGTAGTACTAATAAGAACTAATAAAAAATAAAGAGTAGAACTAAAAGCTTAGCTCTAAGCTATTGCTAGCAGCTATCTAAAGTAATATTAGACATTCTAAAGAGGCTATTTTATACAGAATTGCTATATAATTCTAAATCTACTCTTAGATTATTTATAGCTAGTTAGAATAAAGAGTTATATAGGCGTAAAGTTAGAGAGTTAGTTTTAGTATTTCTTATATAACTATAGCTATATAGCTACTATAGAAAGATTCTAGCTACACTATTTTAATTAAAATTATAGCGCGAATCTAATACTACGCTTTACTTAGCTCTAGCGCGTAAGATAAGTAAGATATTACGTAAATAAAGTAGTAAAATAAGAGAATAGCGCTATACTTAGTATTTATAAGTAAGAAAAGAAATTATAAATAGCTATATTATAGAGAAAAGTATTATAATTTTAATAGTGTGCCTAACCTATATAAAGTAATAAGAATACGTATTCTTACGCTAAACTAAGCTAAGCGTTAGAGCTTACTAACCTAGAACAGCAGAATCTAAGAGTATTCTTATTTAGTATTCTTATAGGTATTACTATTTAAATTCTATTATTTTTACACTATAGATTAACTTTTTGCTATTAGAATATATCTTTTAGATAATAATACTAATAATTATCTACTATTACGCGTTATATTAAGCTATAAAAAATATAAAGTTTTTATAGGTTACGCAACTACCTAATACGCTAGCTGCCTAAGAAATATTAACTACTATAATAACTACGCGCTGCCTGCATAACCTACCTGCATTACTTAATATAATTAAGAATATAATATACTATTTATATAAGTATAGAACGCTTATCTATAAGTAGTATATAACTATGCTATAGAATCTTAATACGCATCTACGTTAATATTATAGTGTTAGTAGCTAGCTATAGTAGTAGGTTATTATAAGTTATAATAATTATAAATAGATTTATAACCTATAAGAGATTTAGCTACCTATACTACTAGGCCTACTAATTATAGAGCTTAGTACACTACTAGACAGCTTTTAGTGTATAGAGAATAAGTATAAATATATTACTATTAATATTAATAAGTTATAGATATATTAAAAGAGTATATATAAGCTACTATAGAATAAAAAGAATAATACTATGTATAAAAAAGTTAAAGTGTAGATATTTTTTTAAAAAAGAGCGCTATAGCAATACTTTATTATTTATAATAAAGAGAATAGTAAGCTATCTATTCTAGATAAGATAGCTAAAGTTATGTAGGCGTAACTAGAGTAATAAAAGAAGATAAAGAAGATAGAAGAGAAGAAGGCGCAGGTTATAGAGGCAGAAGTAGTAAAAACTAATAAAATAGGCTAGTTTAAGTAGATAGGCTAGCTAGAGTATCTTATAAACTAGAACTAAAAGTATCTTATGTATTAGATCTAGCTACCTAACTATAGTAAAGTAAAGCTATAGTAGGTAGTAAAGTTAGTAGAGCTACTACTTAAGAGAAGTATTAAAGACTTATTAATACTAGCATAAGAGTTATAATAATAGATATAGAGCGCAAAGATGTTAGAGGTAGATATATAGCTATTAGCTTAACTATAGAATCTAGAGAGTTAGGTAACGTACATAAGCTATATAGTAAAGTTTATATACTACTTACTATATATACTTACTAATAAAGAGCGCAGAATTACCTAGTTCTAATAAGGTAGTATAGATAATAGCAATGTAGCAGAGTATAGTAATACTACTTCTTCTAGATTTAGTAGATCTAGAAGTAAAGCTAATAGTAATAGCTGCTTGCGCTATCTAATATATAGAAAAAAGAAACCTAACTTTATAAAGAATGCTCTACTCTAGAGAATATACTTAGAGCTACTAGCTCTAAGCGATTTTTAGTAGTACTAATAAGAACTAATAAGAAACAAAGAGTAGAACTAAGAGCCTACTCTAGAGAACGTACTTAGAGCTACTAGCTCTAAGCGAATTTTAGTAAGGGCGATAAGCACTAATAAGAAATAGAGAGTAGCTCTAAAGCAGTAGCTCTAAGACTTTTAAACTTTACTGCCTAAGAGCCTAGATAAAATCTAAGTAGGCTATTTTGTGCAGAATTACTGCGCGAATTTAACGCTATACTTAGCTTATTTATAGCTACTTACGTTATAAAGTTATAGAGTAGAGAAGTTTAGAGCTAAATTTTAAAGTTCTTTACGTAATTACTACGCTTGCTGCTAGTATAGCCTACGTGTAGCTAGAATTTAGCGCTTATAGCTAAATTTTAATACCTATAGCTAAATTTTAAGCTTAAATTAAGGCTAAAATTAGGCGCCTATAGTTAGAATTAGTTACTAAATTAAGCACTTAAAATAGGCGCCTCTATAGCTAGAGATTAGTGCCTCTATAGCTAAAAAAGAGCGCCTTTATAGCTAAATCTAACGCCTATAGCTAAATTTTAACGCCTATAGCTAAATTTTAGGCTTAAATTAAAGCTAAAATTAGGCGCCTGTAGTTAGAATTAGTTACTAAATTAAGTACTTAAAATAGGCGCCTCTAGTATTAAATTTAGTGCCTCTACAGCTATATATACTCTATTATACTTAGTATTAGTAGCTAGCTAACCTAGAATATTATTTCTCTAGCTCTAGAGCGCGCTAGCTCTGCCTTCTCTTATTACGTCTTACCTCTTAATATCTTTACCTTTCTATCTACCTTCTTACTAAATTGCGCCTTAGGCACTTACTTTATCTTACTATAGTATACTACCTCTATATTTACTTACTTACGCTCTCTCTTCTACTAGAATTATATTAACTAAGCGCGCTTACTTTAAAATTAACGCGTCTCTACTATAGACGTAAGCTCTACTACTACTCTAACTTATCTTTCTACTACCTCTATACTCTTATAAGAAGCTTAGAGTACCTAATTTCTTTAAGCCTAGTAGTAGTGCGATAACTACTAGCTTTTCTATATACTAGAGTACTACTAGCTCTTCTAAATAATAGAGTACTACTAGCTCTTCTAAACTATAAAGTACTACTAGCTCTTATAAATACTAGAGTACTTTACTTTCTACTACGCTCTTTTATACTAGTACTATTACTACGCGCTATAGTAATCTTACGTAGATAGCTAAGCAGCTATTCTATAAGTTTAAAGAGAGCGCTGCTTGCGTTAGGTCTCTTATATAGCTTATTTACTACTATACTAAGAAGATTATAGTTATCTATAAAGAGAAAGAATATCTTAAGAAATTAGCTATATACTATAAGTAAGAGGTAACTAAAGCTAAAAGTAAAGTTAAATTATACTATAATAAGGTGTAGAGCGCACGTAGAGATAGTAAGAGGTACTAGAAGTAGGTTAACTTCTACTGTAAGATAGCACACAGAGCCTATAATATTATTAATAAAGCTATTTATCTATACTCTGCTAGCCTATCTAAGTTAGATAGGTTAATTAGTAATTAGCTTTCTTTATACTTTAGGCTTATAACGCTACTTTTTATATTAATCTCTTCTCTTCTATTACTACAGAGTTATAGCCTCTACTCTTTAATAAATAAGAAGCGCTATTAAATTTATAAAGTATAGCCTATAGTATAAGTATTATAAAAGTAATTATATAGCTAAAGACTCTACTTCTTAGCTACTTTATAACTAGCGCTTACGCTAGTCTTTAAGCTAACACTCTACCTATAATACCTATAATAGCTCTACCTATCTACTAGCTCTAAGGCTTAGCGCCTAAAATTTAAACTCTAAGTAACTACTTAAGCTATCTACTAGTATACTAAGTTTTTGTCTATAAAGACTATAGCGCTGTCTATAGTTAGACTAGGTATCTTAAAAAGTCTTACTAAGTTAAGAAGAAAGAGTAGTAAGCGCTAGATAAACGCTATTAGATTAGTACTCTTCTACTTACTAACCTAAGAGATATTACTCTTCTACTACTAAATTAACTACTAATACTACTTCTAGGCGCTCTAATTCTAGCTTACTCTTGCACCTATACAGGCTGTAAATTTATTACTAAGAACTATAATAAGATTTAGTACTATTATAATAAAGCCTATAACTAGAGAACTAGCCTCTAAGACTAGAAGCCTTAGACTTATATTTAAGCGTAGATATTCTTCTACACTAGCAGCTTTTAGAAATACTTTAAAGTATAGCCTATTACTAAAGGCGAAAGCAGCACTTTCTCTAGCGAAATTTTACTTATATTATAAGAAATTTAAAGTTTATAGGTAAAGTATATAAAGTTACTTACTATAGCTAATGCTATAGTTATAAAGACTAACTATACTAGCTAGTTTAAGAGAAATTACTAGCTAATTTATCTTACTAAGTGTAATCTTCTCTACATTTACTAGGCAAGCTATATACCTAATAAAGATAATACGCTACTTACTTAGGCAGCTACTATTATTAAATAAGTAATTAAATAGGTAGTTAGTAGGCTTTCTACTCTTAGGCTTAAGAGCAGACGCTAGTTGTAAAGCTCTAATACTAAGTAAATTAACCTACGCCTAATAGCACGCCTATAAAACTTAGAAAGCTAGTAGTAGTATACTAGGTATATAAAACGCTTTATCTACTATCTACTGCGTGTCTATAACGCCTAAGAGATAGGCGCTAATAGTAGTAGAAGTAATTTATTTTAAACTTAGCTTAGTGTAGAGAGTAAACTAGATTTAGATACTAATAGTTAGACTAGTCTCTTACTATACTATAGAGATAAAATACGTAATACAAAGTAGCTATTTCTCTAGACTAGTAGCTAAAAGTAACTTACTAGAGACTTTATTAGCGCTAT